ACATATATAGAATTGATAAAGGATTTTACATTACGCCTGAAGACAAAGGAGATATTGACCTTTTGCTAGACAATTGGCCAGAAGAAGATGTTAGGGTCATCGTAGTTACAGATGGATCACGAATACTCGGATTGGGAGATTTGGGTTGTAACGGTATGGGTATTCCTATAGGTAAACTATCTTTATACATCGCAGGCGCAGGCATCAGACCAGAATACTGTATGCCAATCATGCTCGATATGGGTACTAATAATGAGGAATTGCTTGAAGAGTTGATGTATCTCGGATATCCACACAAAAGACTCGAAGGCAAGGAATACGATGAAATCATCGATGAGTTTGTCATGGCTGTTCAAAAAAAATATCCAAAAGCACTCATACAGTTTGAGGACTTTGTGACACCTAATGCATATAAAATTCTAGAAAAGTATCAGGAAAAAGTCTTGTGTTTCAATGACGATATTCAGGGTACAGCGGCTGTTGCCTTTGCAGGAGTTTTGACTTCATTAAAAATAACGGGCAAAGTATTTAAAGATCTTAAAGTGATGTTTCTTGGTGCAGGTTCGGCGGCCACAGGTATTGCAGATCTATTGGTAAAAGCATATATCCATGAAGGTCTTACTGAAGAAGAAGCTCTCCAAAGACTATGGTTTGCAGATATCAATGGTCTTTTGGTACAGTCAAGAACGGATCTGATGTCACACAACATACCATATGCACATGAGCATGAAGCTATGTCATTTATCGATGCGCTGAAAGAGTTAAAACCAGATGTTCTCATTGGTGCATCCGGTGCACATGGGACATTTACCCAAGAAGTCATCGAAATTATGTCAGAAATCAATGAGCGACCAGTGATTTTTGCCCTGTCTAATCCTACCTCAAAAGCCGAATGTACAGCAGAAGAAGCATACACATGGAGCAAAGGTAAGGCAGTATTTGCCAGCGGTAGTCCTTTTGATCCTGTGGAATATGAAGACAAAAGGTTTGTACCAGGGCAAGGAAATAATGTGTATATCTTTCCAGGAGTAGGATTGGCGGCAATTGCAGTAGAAGCCAAATATTTGCCAGATTCAGTTTTTTTGGTAGCTGCAGGTGAATTAGCTAGACAAATTAACCATTCTGATTTAGAAAATGGCACCCTATATCCAAAACTGACATCGTTGAGAAACATATCTTTCGAAAT